ATCAATTTTAATCTGGAGAAAGATCTTTCTCCTTCTGCATTTGATCCAAGAATCGACAAATATATTCTTAATGCAATGTGAACGTTAGGAAAAGTATTCACAAGTTTATCTTTAATTTGAGCCTTCAACATTTCTTGTGCAGATTTATGTTCATACAAATTTGAAAATAGTAAAAATTCATCTACAAAGTTTTCCTCTAAATCGGATGAGTAAATTTTCACCAAATTTTGCGCTTTTAGTTTCATCTCAGATTCTGACAAATTTATGTGAACAAGAAAACCGAAATTATCGTACAAATCACTGTAAGCTTTACGCCTTTTTGTAATTTCTGAAATTAATACATCTAAAATGGCGTAATACGTTCCTGACAAAAACATTTGTCCTGGATTCGAGTTTGAATTTACTTCTTGGTCTTCTGTCTCGTCGAAAAATCTCTTTCCTTTTCGTGTTATTTATCTCTTTATTTTATATTCAGTATTATATTATCTCTTTATTTTATATTCAGTATTCCGCAAAAGAACTTGTGCTTTCGATTCTAATTCGTTGAATGACTTTTCGGTGTGCATGTTTTGAAAATGTTTCAATAAACTATCGTACAATTATCGATCGAACTAATCATAATGGTGTTATCGATATCAACTGCAATATCGGCAGTATGTCGGCATTGCAGATAAAGTTCGATAAACAAATTTGTACATTAAAACCCATATTAATAAAAATGTTTAAAAAAAATATGCAAGAAAATTTTAGCATTAATTTTGAAAAGAGGGGAAGAGTGGGGGAAGGAGGGGAGGGCCCAAAAATGGCTATGCCTAGGGCCTACGAAAGGTATAATCCAGCTCTGCTTGTCTGATATTATTGTATCTTTTCCTAATGACCAAGGCATAAATATAAGTGATTGTCAAGGACAAACATAAGAATGCACCAAATATGACAGGGAAGGTTAAAAGAAAAATGTCCCGCTGTAATTTTTATACTATGTTTCGCACATAGTTTAAACTTAATTCGTGTACAAGCTGCGAGATGTGTCTTAAAGGATTATTTCCAATTTTTACAGAAACTTAATTCTTTTTTCTCCAGTTCTACCCAATGGTGGAATACCTTAACATAATGCTTAGAATCTGGACTAGCCTTAAAACGTCCATCGAATACTAGGTGGTTAACCCATTTAGATGCAGTAACGGCACTACACAAAAGTTACTGAAAAATTATGGTCGTTCTTCAAATTTTAGAAAAGAGCCAAGAAGATCTTCTATAAACTGGACTCAATGCTCGCAGTCTCCTTAAGAAATTGAAGGAGATGGAAAATAATTGTGTTGAAAGAATTTTGTGGTGATATGTTATCAAAAATAAATCAGACTTCTTTAAGCATGCAAAAGAAAGGTCTTCCTTTTGATGATAGTCTGAAATTGATTGAATCCTTAATTGCTTTTGTGTGTGAACAGAGAGAAAAGTTCTTTACTTATGAAACCATTTCCAAGGCAAATTTACCTCATTTTAAATATGAAGATGAGACGAAGAGTACTTTTTGAAGAATTCTTGTTTGACATTTTATTATGGAGAAGCAGATGGTGTTATTTTACAAGATACAATAGTTCAAGTTTAAGTTTATCTCTCAATAATTGACACATTGATTAGTCAATAAAAATCTCTTTCAATGGCATATAAACCCATAAATGATTTATTTGGATTTTTTTTTTCAAAATTGAATTTTTAAAAGTCCAAGGAATTAATGCTTCACTGTTAGAATTTTTGAAGATTTTATGCCAATGATATGAATGAAAAAGAACTAGTGTTATAAATAGAACATTTCGCGAATAATTTGGCCAAGGCGAATAATTTTGACCAATTAGATGAATAAAATAGATAAGATGTATAAAATAGCAAAGCTGCTTAAGGCTAACTACTAGTTAGCCTTAAACAGAAAATACTTAATCTACTTAAAAATACTTAAATCTAACTTCGATGAATCCTTTATAAAAATCAAACTTATAATAGCTGTTCTGTTAAAAAAAAAATAATAAAAGTAATATAAATAAATAATGAAGTGTTAAAAAATAATAAATAAAAATAATTTTAAAAAACTCACTTTTTCTTTTTTAGTTTTTAACTGCTCACATTTCCTCATTTTACATATCTGATGACTTCTCACACTTTTACATGGGCCACATTGTCCACAATTTTGTTTCGTCTGGCAACCAGGACATTCTCCACATCGTTTTCTCTTTTTTCTGGTAACCTTTTCATCTTGTGGAACTTGAATGTTAGGAATATTAGGCTGATTTAGACGTTCCCACTGTTCGATTTGAGGCTGATGATGAGGGACGATTGAAATGGATTGGCGAGGAGTAGTGGAAGACACTGAAGGCACTTGAAAGGTGTTCTCTGTGCTACCCCGCAGTTCCAACTCTGTCAAATCACTATCTAATTTCATGAGTTTAGCTTCAGGATAACCAACCATCATTTGAGATCCAGAGATATATGATGGAATTTGAGCATTATTATTAGGGAAGAACATATTAGGATATGGTCGTAAAGATTGTTGCACCTGCATATTTATGTTACTTAGTCTTTGAGATACTGGAAGTGCACTGTTAAAATTTTGAGCATGAGGGGGAATTTGAGAAAAGCTTTCATGATCAAGAACTTCATCGACCATATGTACGTCTCTTAAGTCAGCAGGACTCGCTGCAGCTGACAGGCAAGATGGTGGCCGACCAGGAGTTTCAACAGACCTTGGTTGTTGTATAGGATCTGATAATTGTGATGATTTGGATAAATAGTCTTGCTTACCATACTGCCGCCGATTGTCGGGTTCCTTTAAACTTATTGACTTTTCACTTTGAGCACTTGAGGGTCTTTGCAATTCGTTTTGCATCTCAGATATTGATTGAGGAGTGGAAGGTTGGCTATGCAGATCTGCCCCACCACCCATTTGTTCCCATGGTCTATAACCAACATTACCCGCTGGTGTTCCATCCCGAGAAGGAGGATTGGGAGTTGGTACAGTTCTTACAACACTATTGATAGGACTTTTGGACATCAAACGAGCAGAAAGTCCTTCAGCAGAGGCATCATTATTTGGCACTGAAATTTCATTAGTCCTCTGCTCAGAAGGATCTGGAGTATGAAGTCCAGATGTAAATACTGATGTTTGAGAAGGACTTGATGTAACGTAAGTAAAATTAGTTTCACCAACTGACTTATTGAAGAGAGAACCTTGAGCATGAACATCTAAAACTGTATTTTGAATAATACTGTGAGGAGATGAAGAATTAAAATTTGGAGCGAAAAAAGTTGGTCTAATTGACTCTAAAGGAAATTCAGAAGGATAATGAGTAGTCAGAACAGTGTATGGTCCTGAAATATGAGCACCAGATCCAGCCATCCAATCTTGACCCAGAAAAACACTTGAGCTTGCATTAGTTCCTGATGTGGGAATACCAGATGCATATCCTGCTGGGAGGGCTGCAGGAACAGAGCCCTGCCGACTGCTTTCATTCATTTTTGAAGCTTAATCTATAAAATAAGTCATCTGCTATTACAAAAGAAATTTTTAAATTTACACACAAATCTATGAATTAATGAAAGGACAATCAATGATATGTATTGGGCAAATGGGTAAAAAACGCTTTTTTTTTTATAAACAAAACAAGATCCTGTAACTTGAAAAGTAACTAAATTAAGTTTTCTTAAAAACATAAATTTTTTTACATTTTAAATAAATTTCTTTAAGAATAGCATGTTGGGTTAGTGTCCAGACATTTTGTGAAAGGTCCGGTTTTTGTGAAATTGTGAAAAAATTACTCCCATTCTTTCAACTAGGGTCCTGCTTTTATGAATTTGTGCAAATAGGGTCCGGTTATTGCAAAAAACTTTTTCAAGGAGTTTTTAAATTTTAAATAGATACAAGATTATTCTCAGCACTGTAAAATTATAATAAAAAATAAATAAATTTTCAAAAATAAACAGCAATTGCTGCTTCTAAATTAGAGATGCAACATACAAATATTTGGTATTTAGCCTATACAGCTGAACGCAGAATATTCATTTCGGAAGAATAATGGAAGAATCGTCTGCCGAAGACAAAACTTAATTCTAAACCCTTAATTCTAAAACCTAAATTCGTTTACATCCATCTTTCTTGTTTTCTTCCCTGGGAAGGCAGTGTTTTCACTACAGCGCGAGAACGCGAGAATCTCGCATATTTTTTTAAATTCTCGCATTAAAAAATTATTACCGCGAGAAATTCGCGCAATCTATAAAAAATTTCAAAATTAGCGAATTTCTCGCATTTTGAAAAAAATTTCTCTTTTGCGCCATTTAGAATAAAATCCGTTTCACTTTTCTTCCTGAATCTTTTATTATTTTCAACATCTGCCCCATTATCCCTGTTTATTATTTTCAACATCTGCCCATTCCCTATTTACCAGTATTGTTCAGAACCTTTAAGAACAACAGAACACCATCCTTCAGAACCATGGAACCTCTTTCAGAACGCATNACGCATTTGGGCAACCTAATGAGAATAGCTGATGAAAAAGTAGGTGTAGAGCATTTTCCATATGATGATGCAGCAAAAATATTCAATGCTTTAAAAATTAGAAGATGTTAAAAATGCATCATAATTAAAGAAATTTTAATTTTTTTCAAGTCTCATTACGTTTTTTTTTTTTTTAAATTTTTGAAATCTCACTTAACATTTTGAAATCTCACCCTGTTTTTGAGAAAGGGTGAGAAATTCTCACCCATTTTTTTTCTGAGATGAAAACACTGGAAGGGTTTATTCAATTAACAAAACAATAATGAAGATAAGCAAATTTGTGAAGGGTCTGATTAAAAGAAAAATCATTTTGTGAAGGGTTCGCTTTCAAGCTAAAATAGTTTGTGAAGGGTTCGTTTTTATGAAAAGATATTTTGTGAAGGATCCGTAAACGGACCCAAATTTCTTCTAAACAGACCCCTGGTTAGAATTTAATAAAACATGAGTCAGTCTCAGAGGGCTAATTTAAGTACAACTTATAATAATAAAAAAAAATTTTCAGTAGAAGTTTTGAATCTATAATTAAAGATTCATAATATAAATAAAGAATCAAAATTTTACTTCTTTACTTTTATTAATGGAATAAGTCAAGTCAAATAATTACTAGGTTTTTATTTCTTTACTTATCATCTACTAATTATTTTAATTCAGAAATAAAAACATACCTCATTCCAAATCAATCTTCACCTTGGCAGTGGGACTTCGCCTAAAAATATAAATAATATTAGATTTTTAAAGAAAAACAAACTACTTGAAGTTTAAAAAAAAAAAAAGAAAGAGAGATATCTACTCATTTTTAGTGCAACAGAAGTATTTACAAGAGTTAAAGTAGTGAAATCAAAAACATTCTCTATCTTAGATAGTTTACAATACCAGAAAGGACCCAGTGAACCATGGGTCCTTTCTGGTGTATAAAGATATAGGGTTTAATTTTTCTTTAACCATCCTGCAATAATTGATTCATAAAATAAATTATAGCAAAAAATTACAAAATTTTTTTATAATTCCAAAATTATATATTTCAGTGATATTATATATAGTGATAAAATTATATATTTCAGTGGCTCCAATAGTAGCTGACAAAAATATTGGACAAAATAGAAAAAGAAAATTGCAAACATAAAAAAAAAATCAACTCTATGGAAATCTCACAATAACTGATCTTACAAGTGAAAAAAAATAAGTAGATTTTTTTAAGAAACAAAAGAGCTTTCGGAAAAACTATAAATAATTCATCTAAGAATTAAATTAAAACTATAACTATATTTTCCATCCACAGTTATCTGTACTTTATTTTAAAGTTTAAAATTCATCTATGTTAAAAAAAAAACATATTAGTACTACAAAATAAGACTCTGTTTACTCTGTGCAGCTAGTTGACTCATTCCAGACAGATATTCTATGTTTACACATATTTCAGTGTGTTGCAAATTCAAAGTCCACAATATTTTGAGACTTTACTAATTTTTTACAGTGATATCACAAAATGAGTCTGATACAGTAAACCATGCTACAAATACAGGGTTAAATGTTTCTTATACCACTGTATAACAATATAATACTGTTATAATTGTTATAAGTCTTTAAGACATTGTGTATCAAATTTAACAAGATTGTACTAGGCATGTAACAAAAAATTTATACTTATCATTTCACTAAGTAACTTAAATACACCAACATATTTACACAAAAATTTTAAAAAATTATAGGCTAATTGAAAAGTCTGTCTACTTGGTCAAGTTTTTAGTATTTTCTAATCTGTCTGGTTATTTTCAGGCTCATTACAATCAGCCTACAGGCCGTAAACTAATAAAAAAAAATATATGAAGATTTATTAAATCAAAATTTATCATTTTATACATAAATTTGTTTTAATAATTCGAAATTGACCCTACCATTGTGTTGACTTTTGGGAATAGCCACCTTCCTAAATGAAATCAGTGTTGTTCTGAGCGGAAACGAGTGAGGTTGTCTGTTTATGTTGATTTTTTATTTTTAAATAAAAGTTTAATTTTAGCATTTTTTTAATAAATCAATAGAAACCAGACAAAGTTATCACAATCAATATCAATTTGATCAAAATAATTTCTATATATAAGGAGCAAAAACCCTCCAGCATTGCAGATTATTACATCATCTGCAGATTTATTCTCATTAAATATTCTATTTATTTTTAAGAAACAAACAAACAAATTAGAGAAAATTTTTGAGTCTCCTTTTTAATATCTCTAAACTTGTTTTGAATAAAAAATAAAAAAAAGCTGAAAGAACACAACAAAGAACAAAGAATTTTTTCTTCTGTTACTTGATTACAGGCTTAACTTTAAAGGTGAGATATATTCTCTCTTTTCTGCACCATTGTATAGAATTAAACTTAAATTTAAACAAAATAAAGATTTTATGTAAAATTTTTAAAGTTCTTACATTTTTATTAGTACACGTATGTCAGATGAAGCTCCATTTTTACGATAATAATTTCTGTCTGATCACATTGAGATCGCAGACAAATTTGAATTTAAGAATTTCAGATTATGACTGCAAATTCATTCTGTAAATTCTGAAACTGTAATTGCAATGAGCCTTTCATTATGCCACTACTTTGAATAGAGAAGAATAGTGACTCTGAATAATTAAACAATGAAAGAAAAAATATATCTCCTTGGACTAGAAGTATCGAACTCATTCCAATAAGCCTCTTCAGGCCTATTCTAATGAGTCCAAATAAGCAATATCAATACGCTGCAATAACAATAAACCTAATAAGCCTTTTTAGGTTTGGTGTAAAATAATATAATAAATAGACTGATTAGAAAATAAAGGTAACTTTTAAAATCACCTTGATATATAGCAAATGACACTTAGCATCATCAGATTTTTCAATTAGCCTATGAAATTACATAATTTCAAAGCAAAGGTAGGTTTTTTTTTTTTTTACTTTACATATCTATAAATATAACATATCTATAAATATAAATTTTTCTTTTTATTCCCACTTAGGAATAATTTAAGTTTAAAGTACAATAATAATTGTGTTGATTAGATTATTTTCCACCTTAAAATACATTTTCTAGTGATAAAAATTTACAAATATTTGAACTTGTAGAAATAAAAACAGCAAAAGCCCAAAATCCATCACCCTGAAAAAATGTTATTTCAGAGTTCATACCTATGGAACTGACAGTTTTATGCAAATACTAAAATCAACAATTCTAACCATGATTAGCAAAATTCATTGATTTAAATATTTAAGTGAAAAAACAACAATGGTCAAGATAATTTAAAAAATCATATATTTTTAAATTAAATAACTTTATAGACTTTCATGAACCAGGAATCCAGCTATTAAAAACCCTTTCATAAAATTCCTAACTACTTTAACAGTTGGCGCAGCAGATCAGGATAAGGAAATATCCCTCACATTTCCATGATTTAACTGTCAATTTGAAACAAACATAAATCATTTCTATATTGATTTCATAGTTATTATACTAAACTTCGACTAAGCAAAAATATACCTACTCACAATGTAGATTTTCATAAAATAATATAAATTGTAAAAATAGAATCTCAGTTTTTGATAAAAACAATTTCCATCAAATTCCATATTGTTCTTAAAAAATGGCAAAATGGAAAGAAAAAGAAAGTTGACCTGAAATACTGGATTTCAATTAATCTAATCTAATATAATTATATTAGATTAATTGAATATAATTATGCACAAAAAGCTATATACTAAGCTTAAATAAAAAAAAAGCTATATATACAAAAAGCTATATATATAAGCTTAAATGGCAGGTATTAAATAGGTATAGGTACATAGTGTAATATAAAGTGTTTTAATGTATATTAATGTTGTGATGTATATATATACTAAATGTAAAATAGTGTTCCTTTTTCTCATATTTAGTACATATACATAAAAACATAATACTTAGTTTGCTCAAGTAAAATTGAAAGTTACTACTAATAGGTACAAATTTTAAGAACAATAGATATCTTAATGCTATATTACAATAAACTCAACAAAATATTGCTTTCTTATGCTTCAGTCAATAAATGTTTGCCCTTTTAACAATGTACTGAAACCAAAATCTGATAATTATTAGTAATAATAATTTTAAACTATTAATATTTTTTTATTATTATTAAGAAAATGAATTACAAAATAATTAACCTCCAGTGCATATTCCTATTAGTGATTTCAGCATTCAATTTATTAATTAAATGAACTCAATTATGACATTATAATCAAACACTTATTGTTTGAAAATGAAGTTAAATGCAATATATCTTTTACAATAAATTTATTTCATAACAATAACAAATTTTAAGTATTATGAAAATTCCCCTTTTATGCAATCATAATATTCTTAATTATATATTCCTAGTTATAATGCAATCACTGAATGATCATAACAAATCAGAAGTATAAAATTCATATTTTTAATTTTTTGAGATTTTTTTATTATAAGATCATAATGATGTAAACAAACAACCTAACTAGCCGATTTTTTTTAAAGATCACCAGTTTTTCAACCAATTTACGAATAATTAAAACAATTAAAATTTTATGAGTAGTCAATTTAAAAGGGCAGACGATGTGATAAAAATAAATAGCATTCTAGTCAAAGAAATTGGCAGATTACCAAATTAAATTAATCTTCAGGATAAAGTTATCACAACCACAAATATCAATGACTAGTTAAAAGAAAAGAAGTAATTCAAGCAAACAAAAGAAAACACACAAAATAGAAAAAAAATCCAAATAGCCTAAGGGATGAAAGCTCCAAAGGGAATAACTAAAGAAAGCTGTCATGGCTGTCAATACGCAGTCTAGAAAGCTTACATGGGAAATCCATAGGTATTAATGTTTTAAATATATAAATTAACATTTATTACAGCTCGACGGCAGTCTGTAGATAAGAATATCATAAAAGTAAACTCTTTATTGCAGTATAAATAAAGTTAAAAAATAAATTTCTTAACCATAAAGAGGAAAAATAATACCCAATAAATTTTATCTTATATCTCTCGTTTACCTTCATAGCATCGGTGGGAGAGATTTTCCCTACGAAGCCAGAGGGCACTACGTCCAAAAAAAAGTAATGGCGGTTTGAGAAGAACTAAAATTCTAAATATAGCTAGATTCCTTCATTCCTAGATTATACTAGATAAGACGAGAATGGCTGTAGAACTTTTGCATTTAAAAGTAATAAAGAAAAAGGTTAGAACACTTACGTATTAGCTTTTTAAAGTCATTTTACCCATGCCAGTTACACATCCCGGATCACCGAAACGCTCCTCTTTCAGCTAAGCCTTCTTCTTTTCTTTGTCCGTGATTCTCGCAGCATCCAAAATCGATCCCATCCGAGTGTTCCCGTCATCCCCTCCCCTATTCTAATTTGGTTTGATCCGGCGTATTTGTCACGTGATCCACACATCTCTATGTTTCCGGTGCTTCACCTATTTGGTGAATGCGCGATTTCAGCATCCCGAAACTGAGGATGCTTGCGATCGAGATGAAAATTTTAATTTTTTTTTCTTCCTTTGTGTTTTATTTTTTTTAAAATCAAATTTGCATCGAATTTTAGTTAGAAACTAGCGTTTGTAGTTAGATAAGTGTAATGTGTCTTAGAAAAATTATATATTTTTGTTTTAAATAATATTTATCAAAAAAAACTCTTTTTTTTTCTTTCTATTTGTTATGTTTATTCCAAAATCGATACATTTTCTTATTAATAAATCGTATTTGTTCTTATGAAACTATTCATCCATAAAAGAAATATTTAATTCTTTTATTTAAAAATCATTTTTATTGCTCCTGACTTCGAACAATAACATAATTAGAAAACAGATCAAAGCGAGAATAATTAAATGACGATTGTTTTTTAAAATTATTAAAAAACCAATTATGATGTTTATTTTTATGCACACAGCAAATAACACTAAAAAATTAGCCTGAATATTAATATTTATATCTATGATATGGTCTGTAAAATTCAACCTTACAAGTTAAAAATCCTACCTGATTCTCCTTAAACGAGTTTCATTAAAAATTATATTTAAAAAAAAAACTGACATTATTTATTTGTATTGATTAAAAACTGGACAACTGTTCTCCGTCCCCTGCCCCGAAAGTTTCGCAAATACATTTTTTTTTTTTTTAATTCTTTATTTTCCTGGCCTGGCAGGTGCTCTCTTTTAAAAAATAATCTTACTCCCCCCGCACAAAAACTCACCACAGGATCTGAGGGAGATTTTTTTTTTCGCTTCTTCCTTTTTTTCACTGTTTATTTACATTTTAAAGTTAGAACCAAAATGTCACTGGTGCAATTAGTAAACAACGCTTTAGTCCTTTGTCAGCTTTGAATAACACTAAATACTAAAATGATGCAAAACAAAATTTAGAAATTTTGCCTCCTTGTCCGAATATTAATTAGAATTCTTCTATATTTGAATACTATTATTTAGATCGAAAAATTATTTATAAAATATGTCAGAAAAAGTTCAATAAGTAAATAATAGTAAAATTTTAAGCAGAGATGTTCCATTACAGGCGGAGCTTGTTAAGGGCAGAGGTTCAGTTCAGATTCTACTCGAAATGTTTGAAACAAAGATTGTATATAACGAAAAAAAAAAATTTTCTTTCAAAATTAATATAATTTAATTTAATATAATACTATTGTTTTCAGTAATTTTCAACTTAATTTTTTTTTTTTTCAATTTATATGTCAGACCTCATTTCTACCATAGTTTACTATTCTTACATTCAGTATATTCTTTTTACCGTATGGGGCAACAAAAGCTAATCTTCATAAGTCTTGTAGCTCACATTTTAGAGTATTGCTAGCAAGATTGTTATTTTTAAACAACTTAGGACATTTCCATTCACATAATATACAACTTTAAATAAATAAATAAAAGAAAGGAAGATTTATTTGCAATTGTTTGAATTAATCATGAAAACAAATACTATATTTTTAAATTAAACTTATTTCAAAAATTGGCTAAATTTGAAAAGAAAAACAATTGAACGTCCTGAGAATGTGAAAATTTTTACTTGAATATTTTTATTCTTACAATGCCTTATTTTCCATATTATGCTCAAGCAAAAGAAAGAATCACGTTCAAAGTTAAAACTCGCTGTGAACTGCGGCGATCGTTCCTATCAAAATTTAATACAAATTCTTACCTTTAGAAGAAAAAATAATACAGTCGAACTCGTTATAACGAGCACAAAGGGACCGTAACATGTACTCGTTAAATCCGAGTGCTCGTGATAAACGGGTACTTAAACTTAAGACAGACGTGCAACCAGAAGAGGGGGGGGGGCTTGGGAGGTCAAATGATTGAATTTGCTTAAAATTTAATTAATACTTACTTACTTTAATTACATTAATTAATTTAATCGCGTTTTTTTTATTTCGCGCACATTTCTTATCATTTTGAAAAAAAGATAAGACAGAAAGACTAGAAAGATGAGAAAAAAGATTACAAGACGGAAAAATATTGCTCGCTAAAACCGGGTCTTGCTCGTTAAAAGCGACTTCTGTTCCATAGACTTAACNCATTAAAAGTTAAAAGTGTAAATCCGAGTTCTCGTTAAATCCGAGCTCGTTATAAACGAGTTCGACTGTAATATCAATAAAGAAAAAGAAGTTGAATGATTATTTTAAACCTATGTGGCAGCGCAACAAGGCTGTGATGCACAGCACGAAAAATATTATTAATAAAACTTGATTGTATCAAAAATAGTGACTGACTCTGTTTAAATTTGTAAAATTAAAGAAAGATTGATTAAATTTGTAAAATACTAAGATTGTGTTAGCAAAAAAATTTTAAGCTTCGCGAGGCTTAATTTTTTTTATTTATTCATTTTTCATATTTTAATGGTCAAAATTCCGACTCACTCCGAAATGAAATACTGGCCCGTCATTGCAAAAGAGTAAGGGGACTATTCCGCTTTTTCTAACACTGCATAGCCTAGGTTAAATTTAATGAATTTTGATACTTATTCGTATAAAACATTTACGTTTACGTATACAACAGATACGCATAAAACATTTTATGAATGAAAAAAATTGGAAGCATTAACGTTTGTACCTTTTTGTCGAGAATGATAAACTCTCCGGAATTACTTCTTGTTATAGGTGCTATGCTATGGTATACGGTCGCAAAGCAATGTACACACTACCAAAGGTGGCTCATGACCAAAATGTGAACTTACTCAAAAATTAGTTTACTCAAAAATGGAAATGTAGGCTTCTTGAAACAAAAAATAAATAAATAAAAAAGGATAATTTTATTAGAATTTATAGTACTTACGAAAAAAAGTCATTTAGAGGCCGCTAATAGTTTTAATTAATTTAATAGTTGATTTTTAGATGCATTAGAAACAGGAATTTATCTTTCAGAAATTTAAAAACGTAACTTTCAGCTATCATACTTTCAGATTATGCTTTATTTTTATTTTATTTTTTTCAATTTCCAAAAATTTATCTCTTCAACATATTTTTTTCTTGTTTGAAAAAAAATTAAGCATTTTTTCTTTCAATTACTAAAAATTTATCCTTTCAACAAAAAAATAATAATAATATTAATAATAATTACTGTTGTTTGAAACACAAATGCTATTTTAGGGAAAAATTTAAGAAATCAAAATTGGTGTTTTTTGAAAAGTGTGTAATTAGAAATACAAGTTATCTTCTTTGCCAATTTTTTACAGAAAAAAATAGACTTACTCAACTAATACAAAATACTCTTGAAATTTTTATTTAATACAACTGAATTAGATTCACTGTTTGAAATATTTTGCAAAACATTTTCAGAAGATAAAATTAACATTGTGAAAAGAATAACGAGAAAAAAAAAGAGTCTCTTTGAGATTGAAATGAAAAACTGGCCGACAAAATAGTAGTGATGTGTCGTTCTCTTTAAAAATTGTATCAATCTAATAACCCATACCAGTCAGGCTGTTGAGTCCTCATTTAATGTCATAAGACGTTTATTCAATTATAACTATATATTTTTTATAAAATTAATTTATATGCAAAGATTAATTTAAGGTGTGCAGGAAGTAATTTTTTTAAATTTTATGTAGTTTTTAATTATATATCTCCTATATGTNATCAATCTAACAACCCATACCAGTCAGGCTGTTGAGTTCTCATTTAATGTCATAAGACGTTTATTCAATTATAACTATATATTTTTTATAAAATTAATTTATATGCAAAGATTAATTTAAGGTGTGCAGGAAGTAATTTTTTTAAATTTTATGTAGTTTTTAATTATATATCTCCTATATGTATCAATTAGCAATGCTCACTGAATGTATTAATCTCAAGATATGTTCAAAATATTTACAAAAATCATGACCTTTTTATAAAATTTGAATGACATAGAATATTATTAAAATGTCATAAAATTGATTTACTTAATTATGATATTAAAAAAATTTTACTTTTATTTTATCGATTATATTTCAAATAATATTCGTTTTGTTGAAAATTTGTTTTGATAAAACTGANATGTTTTCTCATTATTATATCTAGTCAGATTTAGAGGTATATTGCTTCGCAAAATTTTTAATTTTTTAAATTTTTAATCAGTGGCATATTTTTTCTTTAAAATATTTCATATTTGTCGACACAGTACATGCATTAGCTCAGAGTATATATTATTATTACTATTATTTATTTATTTTTTAAAAAAGTGTTTGGTACGAACTTAATTTTAACAGTTTTGAAAATTTTAGAAATAATGACGTCACGTTAAGTTTTGGCTATATATCTTCAATAATAAAGAGTTTGTCTATTTATATCTGTGTGTCTCTGATAATTCCGCAACAATTCGTGCTATTGTCTTGAAATTTGAAATGTGGGTGAAAGATGAAACTTTAGCTTCTAATTCTAAAACTCGTTTAAAAATTTTAATTTGATCATTCGGGAGAAATGTT